GTGTGGGGTTTGGTCTGGGTCCCAGGAGGTGTCTGGGCAGGCAGGACCGTGGAGGAAGTTCTATCGCCTTCTGGAAGCAATGGCTTGATTTGGAGTCCTTAGAGGGGACAGGTGACAGAGGCTGGGGACTCTGGGCCCACAGGGGTGTCCAGGATACAGGCACCCCTTCTGCAGCTCCAGAGAGAGTCTTGTCCCCTTTCTTGTCCTCTTTGCCTGTTTGTCTTCTCAAGACAGCTCCAAGCTGGCATTGGGGACCGGGATGACAGAACCCAGTCTGTCCCCTGCCCCTGGCTTCCTGACTGGGCTGGGGGAGTCAGGAAGCTTCTGGGGTGTCCCTGAGGAGGAAGGTGGGACAGCAGGGCAGGGCGCGTGGCTCCCACTGGGCTCCTTGAGAGGCCTCCTGAGCCCCACCCTGGTGCTCCATGGTGCCGACGCCCTGTGCTCTGGCCACTCGTCCAGCAGCTGCCTCTGTGCCCCGTGAGCACCCCGGGGCAGGCCTGGGGTCTTCCTCTCCTTAGGGACACAGCAAGCAGCAGCAGGGATGAGATGCCCCTGTGCCCAAGCCTTCCAGCCACGACTGCCCTCCCTTTCACAGACAGTGACACAAAGGAGGCTCGGAGACATCTAGACGCTTGCCTACTTGTTCTGCTGGCACTTTGATCCATTAACCCAGGTCCAGGACCCAGACTCCTGCCCCTCAATAATAGCAAAGAATAATAAGAATAGTTATGACCACTTGCCAGTCACTAGTGTGCCGGGCTGTCCATCTATTCTCTCATTTTATCATTACTTATGTTCCCAAAGGTAGGTATTGTTAGAACCCACATCTTACAGATGAGGAGACTGAGCGTCAGAGTGGTTGAGCAACTTGCCCAAGGTCACAGATCTAGTATCAAGGAGCCTAGAAATAATGCAGACCTGCGTGGTGTCCATAACAGGAACACAGTTGACAGATGGATGAATGAGTGAATAAAATGAATGAGCGTTCTGCAGCTCTGCCAGAGAAGCCCTCAGGGTCGCTTGTCTCCCTTCGGAGCATCTTAGCTCAGGCATCAGGGAAGCTGCCATCTGGAGGGGGGCAGGCACTGGGCAGGGTGGGGGGCGGGGAGAGTGTTCTTGGAAGAAGGAACAGCATGTGCGGAGGCCTTAGGAGGGAGTTCAGTCGGGGGAGTTGGGGCAGCTGGGGACTTTGGGTGGGCGTGACAGACAGCCTGCTGGGTTGGAGTGTGGTCCTGTAGTGGGGTCAGAGACCAGGGAGGGACTTTATTATGGGGAAGGGGCTACTGAAGGATTTTAGGCAGGAGACCAGCGCGGCTGGACTGAGTTTAGGTGGCGGCCTCTGGCTGCTTTGCGAAGGGACACAGCCACAAAGGGGTCCCAGCCCAGGGGACCCGGCCTGCGCTGGAGAGAGACAAAGGGCTGGGCGACGCCGCGGAAGACACCAGACGCGGGGCTGGATTCTGCCGTCAGGGCTCTGCTTCGGGATTCTGTTTTCTGTTTTTCAATCATTGGAGATGATTTCTGTTAAGGGGCGTAAGTGTGGCCAGCCCCGGGGGGGCCCCGGAGCCGAGGTCCCACCGCCCGCCGCGCCGGCCCCGCCCCCTGGGGACCCGCCGTCCTGATTGGCTGCTGTCGGCCCCGCCTTTCCAGGCGGCCGCCTCAGTCCCGCGTCCTGGCCGCGCCACGGACAGGTCTGGAGTTGGAGACGGACAGTGGCCCCTGCAAGGGAGACTTGAGTGGTGCTGGCCAGTAACGGGCCGGCCCTCCTGCAGCCCTTCGGTGCCAGCTGTACCCTACCCGCCTCCAGTCGCCCGTTCAACCGTCACGATGCCATGAGACAGTAGTGTCATTGCGTCCTTCCTTTCTGTCTGGGGGAGACTGAGGCCCCGCAGCCCCCCACGGCAAGGGCGTCCAGTGGTGGAGCCAGGGCGGATGCCGGGCAGGACTCACAGAGGACGTGGGGTGCTTGATTGGGAAGGTGGGGGTGTGACCCACCCTGCCCGGCTGCCTCCAGAGCCCGCCCTGTGCTCAGCAAGCAGGGGTGGCCTGTGCCTTCAAGGCAGCCGAGGCAGCCAGCGCAGTGCCCACTGGGCCAATCAACCATCAGGGCAGCACCGAGGAGTGGACACAGTTCCTCGGGTTGTGGAGGCCTTGGCGGAGTGTGTGCTCAGAGCGTCCCTAGAGCAGGACTTGGCATGCCGGGAACGCGCCCTCTTGGCATTCCTGGTACCGAGTGCCCAGGAGCCCCGCACACTAGCGGCTGAGCTGGACTCTCCTGGGCTCTGCTCCAGGCCCAGGAAACTTACCCTAAACTCCACCTGCACTCCCAGCAGGACGGCCACGGCTCCAAGCCCCACTTTCCTGCCTCATCAGGAGCTGAGTGGGGCGGTGGCGTGGTCATCACCCCCTCTCTCCCACACCATCTCAGGCCAGGGGCCCACTTGGCAGCTGGCCCGGAGCCCACGCAGCATAGCGAGCGACCGCAGCAGATGGCAAGGGGGGTGGGGGAGTCGTGTTCTGATTCAGCGCTGGGGTGGGGAGGGGCTGTGCGTGATGGGGAGCCCACCTCCTCCCTGGAACACGTGGCCACCCCCCAGCTGGCATGCATCCTGAGGGGGCAGTGGATCAGCATTAGTGTAAATAGCCGGTGTCCCCCCTGTCCTGATGCCCAGCTAGAGAGGCATTGGCTCCAGCGGCACCAGGCAATGCAGAAGCACTCCTGCTTCGGTGTCCCCAGCCTTTCAAAGGGGTCCTGAGAGTGCCACCTTCGGTGAAAGTGTGAAGATTTACGAACAGCACGGGAAGTGTCAGGCCTGGCCCGAGTGTGGCACGGAGGCTGGCGGGGAACTGGGAGCAGATCAGAGGGTCAGAGCTGGGGGCGGGGGTCCCTGCCACAGCCTTCTCAGCTCTGAGGAGGAGCACCCCTGTGAGCTAATCGCCACAGGCCAAGCCGCACATACTGAGAGGCCCACCTGCCCATCCCCACTTCCCCCCAGCCCAGGGACCACGAGGGCATTTGGAAGGGTGGGCAGCTGCGACCTCTAAGATGGGCTGTGGTGGAGGATAAAGGCGGCCGGGGTCTCCCTGCCCCACTGCTTCATGGGGTCTCCTGGACCTTTTCAGAGGCTGGAACAGGGAGGTCGAGCCTCAGTCCCTCCCCCCGCCACCAGATGGAGCGGGGCTGAATTTGCACTGGTACAGACCCCAAGGCCACCTCACCTTTCCCACAGGAGCCTCTCAGCAGAGCTGGGGGACAGACAGGACAGAGCAGTGGCAGGACAAGTGTCCAGAACAGCCAGGTGACAAATGATGCCTAGTGAAGATAGCGGAGTGGGGCTGCCAGGGGACTCCTCTGCTGCCTGCTCCCGAAGTGACAGTGGGTGACTCTCACCCCGGGTTCCCTGCCCACAAAATGGAGACACTGATGGTACCTTCATCACAGACGTGTTACATGGGTCAGTGGGTGACTGTTGGTGAGAGGCCTGTTGGGCCTGAGCCAGAGAGAAAGCACCGTCCCACCTGGCCCAAGCCGCGTGCCATGCCCCAGCACCCATTCTGGCCAGGCTCTGGGTAGGACCCTCCCTGCGGGACCCCCCCGCAGGCCATCACTCACCCTGCACAGCCTGCAGCAGGCGTGCCAAGGCCTCGTCCTGCAGACAGGAGCGGTGGTCCCAGGTGGTCGGCCGCCTGCTCCTGCTCTCTGGGCACAGTGCCAGGGAGCTGGTCCCTCCAGTTCCTTGATATGAGGCCACCCCAGCATTCACGGGGTCAGCTCCCATATCCCCCAGCACATTGAAACATGGGACACACTTACCCTCCTGCCACGTGGCTAAAAACAGGGACATGCCTGTCACCCAGTAAATGACCAGCAAGGCTGGGGCTTGGGCTGATGAGGCTGAGAGGGTCATCTCTGCTTGTCCCAAGCTCCAGAGCCAGCCCCTGGCAGCTCGGGGCACTCACGAGATGGCAGGTCCTGGGCTTTCTGTGTCGCTGTGTCTCTAGCACCCTAAATGGGGGCCCAGCACGTGGTAGGTGCTCAGTGAGTGAACTGTGAGGATTTGATGAACTCAAGTCTGGGTCCCAGGCCTGGGGACAGGGCCATGACCAGGCAGAGCGGGAACTGCCCAGGAGCATGGAGGAGACAGGAATCCCCTGGGAGGGCGAATGTTCAGTTTGCTCCTAGAAGCTATTAGGAATTATTCATCTCTCACTGATTTCCTGTGACGTGTCTGCCAGAGACTGTCCCCTCCAAGAGTCTGAACCCGCAGCCTTACCCATCTCCCTCCACCAGGAGAGGGCAAGGAGAGCTCCCTGCTCCCTGCCCCAGTTCTCCTTCCGGCCAGGACCTTATGGCAGGACAGGAGGGGCTCTGGGCACTCAGTCCCCATCCTGGGCTGCGTGATGTGAGTCCCCCACCCCGAACACCGTGTCCCAGACAGTAATCGCAACAGCAGGCTGCCTGTTGGCATTGGCCCTCAGTGCCCCACAGCCCTGCCAACTGGGTGCCATTGTCTCGGGAGAAAGTAAGTTCAGACAGCTCGGGATTTCCCAAGGCCACGGGGCGGGCTGCCTCCAAGCTGGACTTGAGTCCGGGGCCATCAAACTCCAGCCTGGGATCTTCTGCCTGCAAAGGCTGTGCCCAGAGTCCTGTTCCAGAAGACCCTGGCTTATGCCTCTGGGTCTGCCTTGATGGCAGTGCCACATGCAGAGAGCCAACACCCCTGGGGGCAGTGGACACGGCCCAGCAGGCTGACCCCGACTGGTGCCTGGGTGTGAGCAGTGAGTAGAGGGGGCCCGGCCCCGGCACTCCCAGGCCTTGGCAGAGCTGTGCCCGCCCCCGTGGGTCTAGTGACAGGCCACCCAGGCCTTGGCAGCTAGAAGGCCGACAGGCCCGCGGAGGCTCGCCCGCTGGCTTCTCTAAGACAGTGGGCGTCCAGGTGCCCGAGGCTTCCCCCTCCCTCCCGTGGCCTCACCTTCCCTCCTTCTCTCCCTCCGAGCAGCAGGAGCTCCCAGCCCACGTGAACCTCTCCGCCGCCCCAGCCCCCGCCCCCGTGGTGCCCACCGCCCTGCACTCCAAGATGGACGAGCTGGAGGGGCAGCTGCTGGCCAAGGTGCTGGCGCTGGAGAAGGAACGTGTGGCCCTCAGTCACAGCAGCCACCGGCAGCGGCAGGAGGTGGAGAAGGAGCTGGACGCCCTGCAGGACCGCGTGGCTGAGCTGGAGCACGGTGGGTCCTGGGCCCCGCGAGGCCCCGAGGTGCCAGGTCCACCCTGAGCTCGTGCTTTCCAGAGGCTAAAGCTGGATGGGAGGGTGGGGAGGAGGCTGGGAGTACAGAATAAGTGGGGGACAGTATCATCAGACCTAAGTTATCATTGACAGTTACCACTTCCTGGTACTACTGAGTGGCTAAGCGCACTGCATGTCAGCTGTCAGTCCTCACAAACTGCACAGGGATTTTCACAGGCGAGGAAACTGAGGCTCAGAGGTCAAGTGACTTGCCCAAGGTCACACAGCCAAAAAGTGGAGGATTGAGACCTCTATCCAGTTCTGTTCGACTCCACTGTCATGCATTTAAACACCCACAAATAACACCTGCAGCAACTACCAGTCAGGGTTTTGTCGTTTGCTTAACCCCCAGGCCTGGCCCCACTGGGGAGGCAGAGCAGCACAATAGATGGTGCCAGGGGTGGGCATCAGGAGGGCTCGCTCCAGGCTCCACATCTGTCACTGGCTTGCTCGGTGACCTGGGAAGGTCACTTCTTTCCCCAGGCCTGTTTTTCTCATCCAAGAAATGGGGGTTTAGGACTCCTGAGATCTCATGGGCCTTTTAGCCTTGAAACCTTGTGGAAACAAGTTGGGGAGCAGGAGAAACCATTGACTGAAGGAACTGAGGCCCAGAGAGGTCAAGTTGAACTTGTTGATGGTCACACAGCCTGGAAATGGCAGAGGCAGGATTTGAACTCAGGACATCTAGGTCCAGACCGGGTGTGGGGGGGGATTCATCACTTATATCCCTTAGCCAGAGGCAGAGTAGAGAAGACGGGTGGGGACGACCCACTCGACGCCTGTGGGTGGCCGGGTGCCGCTAGCCCTCTTTCTGGAGTGCCTGTGCACCCAGCCCTTGCTGGCTGCTCTGACCCCGCCATGCCACCCCCCAGGGTCCTCGGCCTACAGCCCCCCGGACGCCTTCAAGATCAGCATCCCCATCCGCAACAACTACATGTATGGGCGGGTGCGCAAGGCGCTGCCCGAGCTCTACGCGTTCACCGCCTGCATGTGGCTGCGGTCCAAGTCGGGCGGCACCGGCCAGGGCACCCCCTTCTCCTACTCGGTGCCCGGGCAGGCCAACGAGATCGTGCTGCTGGAGGCTGGCCACGAGCCCATGGAGCTGCTGATCAACGACAAGGTAGGCAGGAGGGGCCCTGCAGCGCCGCCTTGCGACGGGTCAGCGCTGGAGCTCTGCTCGGCCGATTCAGCAGCACACGTTAAGTGCCTCCTGTGTGCCAGGCGGGTGCTGGGAAGGCAAAGGCAATCCAGAGGTGGGCTGGCCGGGTAGGGTCGCTCCTGTTGTCTAGAGGAGCAGGGGAGGTCACAGACTCGCGGTGACTTCCCCAGTGGCCCAGCTGTGTGTGTGTGGGGGCGGGGCTGGAGGTGCCTGTGCCCAGGGCCTGCTCTGTTCTCCCAGAGAGAGAAAATGAAGGAAGAGAGGTGCATGGATCGGCCTGGGGAGGGGGGGAAGGCTGGGGACCTCCCCCTCTGCCAGTTTCTTTGCCCTCCACTCTGTGGGGGACACGCGGCTTCGGCCATTCTGGGACCTGAGTGCCGGGTGGAAGCAAGTGCATCGCACCCACTGAGTGAGATGGCCATTCGCCAGCCTGGGCCTTGATTTCCCACCTGTGAGCAGGGAGGACAATAGTCCCTGCCCCTCAGGTTGTCATAGGAAGCAAGTGGCTTAACCCCACATAGAGGGTCTGAGCAGAGCCTGGCATTTAGCCTTGACAATGTGAGCTCCAAGGCGCAGCGCTACAAAGCTCTATCCTGCTGCCACCCCAGCCTGCCCCACAGCCTGGGAGTCAGGTCTCTTCGTTGTCCCCATCCTGCAGGGAGAGCAGTGAGACTCAGAGGGGAAGCCAGGCTTCCTGGCCACGCTGCTGGTGAGGGCGAAAGTGTCACCTCTTACCCCCTCCCCTGTTCTGCCTCCTCACACCCAGGCTCCCGTCCCCATGTCCCTTCCCCTGGCCTGGCTGGAAGACAGGGAAGGAGGAGTGATTGGCGGGGCAGGTGATGGAGGGGCAAGAAGAGGAAGCTCTCATCACCCCTGTTCCCCCTCAAAGTTCCTCCTCCTGCCTGACACACTGCTTTGGCCTTGCTGGCACAGTGATCCCTTAAGGTCCCCTGGAAATGCAGGCATCACATGTCACACCCACCTGTGACCAGCTCACAGCCACACAGAGTCAGGAGATGCCTCTCCTGGGTGTCCTGGGAGAAAAGGAAGGAGATGGGCCCAGGACACAGTGAATTTCTCTTATGGACCCAGAAGCTCAAAGACCAAACAGGCAGCTGGGCTCCATCTAGACCCTGCCACCTTGCTCCTACCACCACCGGCTGGCTGCCATCCCTGGCCTTGCCCAGGACAGCCCAGGAGTTCAGCACCCTGGACAAGGCACCAGGCCTCTCACTTTCCTGCTGGGCGGTGCGTGGTTTGCCTGGCAACAGAGTGGCTGGATACCACTGACCTTCCAGGTGTCCTCTCTTCCCGTCTCCCCCTTCCTCTGGCCTTCACAGCCACTGTGTCTCCCTGTGGCCTCTGTACTACTCTGGCAGTGTTGTCCCTGAAGTCCTGCCCTCCTGGGCAGGCACAGCTCACTTGAGGCCATGACCAGACCCATCTCCCCAGTGTCCAGAATCAGGCCTGGCACCAAGTAGGCCCCAGAGAGCGCATGGGATGAGGGAGCCCTCTAGGACTGCCATGTCCACGTACTGCAAGTGCCGTCACCTCACAGGCCAAGCCCAGCCCCTCAGCAGAGGCCCCGGAGCTCGGTGATGAGTCTGAGGCTCGTGGTGAACTAACCGTGGCTTCCTGGCTGGAGGGAAAGACAGGGCTGCTGTTTGCCTTCCTTTGACCACTTCGCTTTACAGACAAGGAAACTGAGGTCCAAGGCGGGAAGAACAGCCTCCCTGGTCACGCAGGGGGTTGGTGGCAGAGCTAGAGCCAGATACTGGCACCTGGCCTCAGGTCCAAGGCCTCTTTTTTGCTGCCAGTGCCCCGGCCCGGGCTGTGTGTGGACATGGGGTGATGCATGCAGGAGGAGTGGGCCATGGGACACTGCCTCCACTGCATGACCTTGTGGGCCTAGAAGCAGTGGAAGACCCGAACTGGACCGTCACTTGTGACCTGAGGGAAGCTGCTTGGTTAGGCTGTGGGGGAAGGGAAAGGGGTCAGCAGAACCCTGGGACGGGAGGGAGGCAGGTTCAGGACTTGGGCCAGTCCCTGGGTCTCCCAGCCCCACCCCCCTGCTCCAGCTTTGGGCCTGTGGCTCCCCTGACCTGGGTTGGGGAATCTGTGTCCAGGTGGCCCAGCTGCCCCTGAGCCTGAAGGACAGCAGCTGGCACCACATCTGCATCGCCTGGACCACAAGGGATGGCCTGTGGTCTGCCTACCAGGATGGAGAGCTGCGAGGCTCTGGGGAGAACCTGGCGGCCTGGCACCCCATCAAGCCCCATGGGATCCTCATCCTGGGCCAGGAGCAGGTAAGGGTCGGACTGGTGTCAGGCTGGAGGCCCAAGAGCCTGCCCAGGGGCCCTGAGGAGAGAGGCAGGCATAGGGGACCTGAGAACACAGCAGTGACCATTCAGGCAGATCCCCCATTCTACAAATGGGCAGACTGAGGGCCAAAGACAGTAGGGACTGGCCAAAGGGATTGGGACCTTAGGGAGGACTAGAACCTCAAGATGGGGCTATGTCCTTGGAGGGGGGCTAGAACCTTGGAGTGAGTGTAGAGCTTGGAGGTAAAGAGAGAACCTGAAGGTGGGACTGGAACCTGGATGTGGGGCTGGAACCTTGAAGATGGTGCTAGAACCTTAGGGATGGAGCTAGAACCTTGTAAGGGAGCTAGATCTGGAGGTGGGGCTAGGACCTTAGAGTGGAGCTTGGATGGAAGCAGAGCTAGGACCCTGGAGGCGGGGCTAGGACCTAGAGGTGGGGCTAGAACCTGGAGGCGGGGCTAGGACCTGGAGGTGGGGATAGAACCTGGAGGCGGGGTTAGAACCTGGAGGTGGGCTAGGACCTGGAGGTGGGGCTAGGGACTGGGGGTGGGGCTAGGACCTGGAGGTGGGGCTAGGGCCTGGAGGTGGGGCTAGGACCTGGAGGCGGGGTTAGAACATGGAGGTGGGGCTAGGACCTGGAGGCGGGGTTAGAACATGGAGGTGGGGCTAGGACCGGGAGGCGGGGTTAGAACATGGAGGCGGGGCTAGGACCTGGAGGCGGGGCTAGAACCTGGAGGCGGGGTTAGAACCTGGAGGCGGGGCTAGGACCTGGAGGTGGGGCTAGGACCTGGAGGTGGGGCTAGGACCTGGAGGTGGGCTAGGACCTGGAGGTGGGCTAGGACCTTGGGCAGGGCCTCCTGGGGAAAGGGCCTGGCTGCTGTTCTTTCTGCTCCCTCACGCCACACCTCTTTCTTCTCCCGGCTTCTCTCTTGGCCTAGGACACCCTCGGGGGCCGATTTGATGCCACCCAGGCCTTCGTCGGGGACATCACCCAGTTTAACCTGTGGGACCATGCCCTGACACCCGCCCAGGTCCTGGGCATTGCCAACTGTACTGGGCCGCTGCTGGGCAACGTCCTCCCCTGGGAGGACAAGCTGGTTGAGGCCTTCGGGGGTGCAACGAAGTCCTCCTTCGACGTGTGCAAGGGGCGAGCCAAGGCATGAGGGGCCACCTCGCCTGCCACCTGGGGGACCCCGGGGCGGTCCTTCCCTCCTCAGCCTGCCCACACTCTGGCCTCCCTCCTGCCCCTCCTGGCCATGTCTCCCGTCCCTCTCACCTGTATACACACCTCCAGAATCCCTGCCCTTCGATGGGTCCCCTTGGCCTCCTGGGTGGGCACAAGCATCTCAAGTCAACAGGCCAAGCCCGGGGACTCCAGGCCCCGCCCACCCTCCTGGCGTTACTCGGGGTGACCCGGCCTGCCCGCCCTCTCCCATCGAACACACGGATTCCACCAACCTCAGCAGCATCCCCTCGGGTCGTGTATGGCGGTGGCCTCAGTACCTTTGTCCCCCAGGCTGCAGATGGCCCCTTTCTCTTGGGGCCGCAGCAGGAGGCGGAAGGGGCTGACACGGGCATTGGAGAGCAGACTGCCTCTCCCTCCTCTCCCGCTGCCCATGGAGGGCGGGGTCTGGATGAGCTGCCAGCCCTTACCCCTCCTCCCTCCTGTGTGTGTGTGTGCAGTGGTGTGAATGTCGGTCCCACGCCCAGGCTCACCGGCCTCAGTTTCCAGGACATTCCCTGCCCAGCCCCACCTGCAGGGCTGGGGTCCCATGGACCAGAGGCCACAGGACTATGGTCACTTCTTGTGCCCAGGGCTTGGGCCACTTTCTCTGGTCTGGGAGCAGCTTAAAGCAGAAGCGTCATGGCCCAGGACACTCCTTCTGCATGGCCCTGGGGAGGGAGGAAGATGCTGAGAGGGCCCTGCTGCTAACCTGCTGTGTGGTCTTCTATAAGTGCCTGCCCTCTCTGGGCCGAGTTTTCTCTTTGTGAGTTGAGGCCCTTGGTTTGGCCATTTCCGAGAGCTCCCCAGATGGATAGTGAGATGACGCCCCCACCTGACCAGGTGGATAGTGCAGAGAAAACCCGAGAACCCAGGGGCTTGGTAGGGGCAGGTCCTGGGACTGGGCAGCAGATGGATCAGGCTGGGCATGTGTCTCCAAGGGTCAAGGTTCAGGGTAAGGTTCAAGACAGAACAGACTCACACATGGATCATAAGTATCAGCTCCTTCTGGGTCCTGCCAGCCTGGCACCCTTGTCTAAGAGTGTCACAAAGACCTTGAGTCCTCACCAGCTCCCCCAAGAGAGTGGAAGAATGTCAGAGCTGAGAAAAGCCATCCAGCCTCACCTCTTGCTGTGAGAAATGGGGAAGAACTCAGAGAGGGCAAGTATCTTGCACAGGATCACACAGCACAATGGGGGAGAGTCAGAACTAGAATCCAGAGCCTTTGACTTCCTCTTCAGTGCTCCTCCCTCCACACCACACTTTCTTTGGGTCCAGTCCACACCTGAGAGGGTGGACATTTGAGAGGGCAGGATGCTTTCTAGCATGCCACTGGAACGTCTCCCTTCAGGCAACACCCAGACATCTTGGCACCCCAGGACGGGGAGCATGACCCCTGGGCACTGTGGCAGAAGGGACAGCTAGGGATGCACGTGTCCCTCCCAGGTGTCTGAGCAATGGCACTGGTGCATCTCACCCCACCTCTTTTTTCCTGCTCCGCTCCCCATGGCCACTCAGCCTGAGCCATGACACGAGAGCCACAGGGTGTGGGGCTCAGTGCCTGGAAGTGCGTCCATGTCCTGGACTTGTGGCCTCCGCCCCCAGGTCCTGTTTCCATTTTGAGAGCACAGACGATTGCTCAGCACCTCGGTCCCAGGGCCCTGGAAGACAGCACTCGGGCTTCAGCCAGGACCACTGAGATCTCGGTTGCCCCGGTAACAGCCAATGAGATCAGCCCAAGTGCTGGGTCAAGTGTCTCATCGCGATGACACGGGCTGTTGCTGGGGCAATGGCAGGGTTCGGAACTTAGATGCTGGGGACGTGACCTTGTTGGGTTTCTGCTACTATTCTGAGACCTTAGAAGGATCAGGCCTTGGGAGGGAGGTGACAGAAACTGCTTGGCCACTTGAGCCCACCCAGACACGTCATCCCCAGTCCTTTATGCTTTGTCACAGTGAGGACTCGACATGGACGCCTGAGCTTCGTTCCTGTGCCAATCGCCTTGGTCAGCCCCAAGAGGGAAGGGAACAAACTGGCGATGTTGGGGTGTGCCTCTGAGTGTGTCTGCACCCCTCCCTCATCTGTTCAGTCTTCTGCGGACACAGGGCACCTGCTCTTGGGACAGTCGGGTGACTTGAGCTGCTCCTGGACATGTCCAAGAGACAGGGAGAAAGGGGCTGGGCCTGGCCACCCAGGAGGATGGAGCTGGCCATGTCGGGCTTCTTTAGGCACCTGGCGCTCGCTGAGCCCTGTGCACAGCACAGTCACAGGTTAGGACCCTCTTGGCCTCCAGTTCAGGGAGGTCCCTGGGGCTCAGAGGGCGAAGCGCCCTGCCCATGTCCCTCGGCCTCCCAGGGGTGAAGTTCAGATTTCCACCCACACACAGGGCCAGCCTCAGCCAGGGCCCGAGAACCCCAACCACACAGACGAGCTCAGGTGCACTGCTGCCGGTGCGGTTTGGCCTGAAGGGACGGCCACCTGGCTCAGAGGGACGGAGAGACAGGTGTTCCTGGAGGGACCTTCCCCAGGGCCAAGGTCCCTTTGGTGAGGCCGTGAGAAGGGTCCCCAGCCCTGAGGGATCTTGACCTGGGGACCAGGCAGGGAGGGGACGCATCTGCTTCTCTTCAGACTCCGCTGTGAGCCACGCCCTGGGCAGGTGCTCCACAGCTGCGCTCTGCCAGGTTTGCCCACCTTGAGGCATGTGGCGGCACCCCTGCCAGAGTCCCTAGGGGACTACGCCCTTGCCACAGTCGTGCATGACCCGGGACCACAGATGGGGCCCGGAAGTTCTCGGAGGAGGACGCTGAGGCCTGGGGAGGGCGAGTGGCCCCCCAAAGCACCCTGCTGAGACTGGGGCGCTGTGAGCCCCGCTGGCAGGCCACGCCCCATTCTCTCCAGGACCCAGGCCCCTTTCCACGCCTCCTAGGTGTCCCAGACCCTAGCCTGAGGGGACTGGGGAGGGGCCCTGCCAGAGATGGGACCACTCTTCACCCCTGTTTTAGATGCCTGCCACCCCGGACCCCACCCCGACACCCTGACCCTGGGAAGGGGCCGTGTGGCCCAGGCTGAGCAGCCGGCAAGCATGTCACGTTGTCTGTGCAGTCAGTGCCCCCACTGCCCGCCCTCCGCGGCTGCCCTCGGGGTCCCCCTCCCTGTTTGTACACAGTGGCCTGCGATGCACCGTGTGCGCGTGTGTGACCTGTGTCATGGTTTTTGTTACTTTTTCGTTTTTGTAAATTTGAATGTTCAAAATAAACTTTCGGTTTACTCGAAGGCTCTTCTTTGGGGGTGGGGGGTGCTGTCCCCGGGGCACCCGACCTGGACTGCGGCTCAGGCACACCTCTGTTCCAGCGTTCATGCCGCAGGCTGTGGGAAGCAGGTCCCTCATGGAAAGTGCCCCAGTTCTGAGAACTGGGCTTTGGCCTCGTTCCGAACACCCCTTCCCCACCATGTGCCCCAGTTCCAGGATCCGGGCCCCCACTTGTTCCCTAGGACCCAGTCTGAGTCACCTGCTTGGACCCTTGGGGTCCTGGAGATGGAGCCGGGCAGGTGGAAGGACCCTGTCATATTCCAACCCCTCCCCCAAGGCGGCTGGACTCCTCTGGCACCTGCAGCCTGGGTCCTGGGTCCTGGGAGCAGCATTAGGGTCTGCTCCCGACCCCACCCTTCTACCACCCACCCCCAGCCCTGCAGGGTCTCCATCTTTCCCGGGACCTCCCTGCGCACACGGTCGTCGCGGGGGGCACTTTACCCATGAGACCACTGTTGGGGCTGGACTTTGTCTACAAATGACCCCTGTGAAGTCAGGGGCTAGGCAGGGTCACACCAGCAGAAGGGACTCCGCAGGCTGTCCCCAAAGCCTCCCAACCTTCCAGGAATTCCAAGAGTGAATTCCAGGTAGGGCTGGCTGGAAGTGGCCTGTCCAGCGGGAAGGCCCGAGGGAAGTCGGCCACGGTAGCTGAGAAGCCCACGTGCTGCGTTGACTCCAGGCCAGAGCCCCAGATTTGTTTGGGGACAAGGATGTTTTCAGCGACTTCCCACCAACGGGAAGACACACCTTGAAGGCCGAGCTGCACAGATGCGCCCTGTTTATCCTCTCCTGCAGGATTCACCTGCAGACGCCCCCTCTCCCTCTGTCCCCCAGGCTGGCTGCCCAGCCCGGTGCCATCCCACCTCCCCGTCTGCTTCCCAGCTCTGCGCAGCTGAGCCCTGTGTGGGGAGGCCCAGCCCTGGCACCCCCTGATTCCCATTGAACTTCAGGCCTGAGGTCCCCAGGGCTGCGTCACTCTGCCCCTCGACCTAAGCACTCTTAAGGCTACGTTATACTGTCCCTGTCCTCAACTCTGCAACCCCGCACCCCAGCCCTGCGCCTCACATCAGTTGTACCTCCTCATTCCTGGAGGGGACAGAGGCCATCACGTAATCCCTCCCTCCTCACGGCCTCCAGGTGCCCGCGAACCAGCGCGAGCCCACTCCTCAGCTTCCTCCTGTCACCCTGACCTGTCCCTGCTGCTCTCAGAGGCGCTGTGAGCTAGAGCCCTTCCCCTCGACCATCTCCAAAACGTGTCCCCCAAGTGACCAACTCATCCCCCACTGCTTTGTCACCCCAGTGGGCGTGCACTTCCTCCCAGTGTCTCCTCCCTTAAACAAAATCCCTGCTTTGGTTACTGGAGGGGCTTGGAGAGGGGCCTCGCTCAGGATGACCGTGTCCTTGACGCGCCAGCTGCAGAAGACAGCAAGGCTCAGACGAGCCACGCGGGAGGGCAGCACAGGCACCGGGAGAGGGACCGCATTTTCAGGGTCTCTGTCAAAGAGGATTTGGTGGGGGGGCGAAGTGCATTGGGATGGCATCAGCATGGTGACCACAGGACAGTTTGAGGTGGCCTAACAGTTCTCAGGATCCAGGTGGACGTTGTCTCCTCTGCTTGACCCGTGGACAAGGCTGGGAACACTGCCTGTATTACAGGTTTCTTAAAATATCGTATGTCCTTTTGTTAAATCTATTCTAAAAATATGCGTTCATAACTCACTCTGTGCAGTTCTCATGAGCGAGTGAACCCACAGGAGCTTTAAGGTTCACAGATTTCCCAAGAATTTGCGAATGGCAGGCCTGGGAATGGAACCAGGGCCTCACACATATGAGGCCAGTGCACTACCACCGAGCTACATCCCAGCCCTTTCTATTTATTATTTTGAAAGAAGATCTTGCTCAAATGCCCAGGCTGATTTTGAACTTCAATCTTCCCTCAGCCTCCCGAGTAGCCGGGATGCTGGCCCACACTGGAATTTGAATTCAGTCTGACTCTGGAAAAAGCCTGCTGTGTGAGCCAGCTCCTGACACTGTAGCAAAATACTGGAGACAGTCAGTTCTCAAAGAAGATATTTATTTGGGCTCACGGCTTGGGAGGCTGCAGTCAGTGGTCAGCTGCCCTGTTGTTCTGGGGCTGTGGCTGGGCAGCACGTCATGGGGGGCATGTGGCAGAGCCAAGCCACCCACCTCATGGCCAGAAAGCAAAGAGAAAGAGCCTGGGGTCTCACAGTCCCCTTCGAGCACACTCCTAATGACCTAAGGACCTCCCATGGCCCCCTCCACCAACACTGCCACCCTCTCCCAGTAGAGTCCCTCTGGGGACCGAGCTTTTAACACAGGGCTGTTCAACATCCAGGCTGTGGCACACAGATGCCACACTAGGCGTCTGTGATTGGGTCCCCTGTCCTTTCATGGTATCAAAACAACAGCTGGTGGAGGAGTTTCCTGTTGTACACCGACTCCCTGCCGAGAAGCCCGGGAGAAATGAGGGCATGTTTGAGACGTCCAAGGGGCGCCGAGGTGTAGCTCAGTGGTCCAGTGTCGCCTGTCATGTGTGAGGCACTGGGTTCAATCCTCACACCACATAAAAGTAAATAAAGGTACTGTGTGGTACTGAGCGTCCATCTACAACTAAATAAACACTAAAAAAAAGGCGTCCAGGGAAGGCACCAGGAGGAGCCGACCACAGGCGGTTTGAGGGACACCAATGGGAAGGTGAGAGTGCAGAGGGCAGAGCCCGCCTTCACAGGCACCTCCCACAAATGGCTGTGTCCGGCAGCTGGCCAACTGTCCTAGAAGTCAGATACCAAGGAGGTGTAGAGCGCCCAGCTGGGAACTCCAGGTTCAGGAGGAGGCCCTCGGGCCAAGGACCCAGACTTTCAGGGGGCCCCAAAGCGTTAGTTTGTTATTATTTTGTGTTCCGGGGGTGAACCGGGGGCACTTTACCACTGAGCTGCATCCACAGTCCTTTCTATTTTTTATGTTGAGGCACAGTCTTTCTTGTTAAGTTGTTGAGGCTGGTCTCCAACTTGCAACCCTCCTGCCTCAGCCTCCCGAGTCACTGAGATGATAGATGAGCCACTGCACCCAGCCAGGGTCACAGCTTCACAGTAGGTACCCTGCAAACATCCAACCCTTCTGTGGATTACCAGCTTCCATTCCATTCATCAACTGAATTACAGAATCAGCCAGTTCACCGGCAGCTTTCTAGAAGCAAGATGAATTCTTTCTGAAGAAAGAAAATATTATTTTACTTTTTTTCCCCCTAAGGTGAGGTCTCACTACATTGCCTCCTACTCTGGCTTCCCGAGTAGCTGGAACTACAGCATTGCCAGGCTTGTAAGATATTTGCCACACATGATTTGGCATTCAACAGAAAGTTATCACATATCCAGAAACAAACTGAATGGCTGAATTTCCACAGGGGAGAACAAAATTTAAAGTCATCTGATAAAACTGCATAGAAATAAACACACACGGGTAAAAGTGGAGGGAATCTGGATATGATCACATCTGTGTCCATACCTTGGTGATGTTTTACTCAGGTAAGAACTCAAGAGATCTCACTTTGATACACACACACACACACACACACACACAC